CGCGTCAGCAGTCCATCGTCCGTCCGGATGGTGTAGTCGGTTATCACATTCGCCTCACACGCGAAAGGTCCCCAGTTCGAACCTGGGTTCGGACACTTACATTTTGCCGCGCTTGCCCGCTGGGGAGCAGGCGGGCCGGCGCACGCCTCTCTCAGGTCTCTCCGGGGCTGCGGAGAAGAGAAAGAGAAGGGGGGGGGGGGCATGGGGATAGACATTATCACTGGCCAGGTTGTGGAGGTTCGACGTGGCGTAGGGTGGTGATGTGGCGTGCGGGGAATGGAAGGGCAGGCGGGGCAATGTTGACCGGCGGCGTGCGGGGGGTTCTAGCGCGGTCCGGCTTGCTTTTGGAGCTGGTGGCGCACTTGCCGTGTGTCTCGGCTTCGCGCTCTCTTTTTTCAGTTGCTCCTCGCCGCAGGGGGGACCCGCAGCTCCCGCTGCTGGCGGTCATCCTTCTCCTCCTGCGGACCCTGGCGCGGGGCGATCTTCTCCACCGCCGCACATTGTTTGTTTGCGCCTCAAGTGGTAGTGGCGACGCGAGGAACCGTGCATCCTTCGCGGGACCTAGGCATTGTGTCAATGGGCAAAATCTTATAAACATTCATTGGGCAGGTGCCTTCATCATCCGTCCGAATGGTGTAGTCGGTTATCACATTCGCCTCACACGCGAAAGGTCCCCAGTTCGAACCTGGGTTCGGACACTTTATCTTTTGACCCAGTGTCGGCTCCTTCCTCAACGCGTTCTTCGCCTGTGTGGGGGTGCTCTTTTCTCTCCGCGCCCCCCCACGCCCCCCGCTGCGGGGGAAAGGCCGGGGCGAGGGCGTGGGTTTTTCTTCCCCCGGACAAGTCGACGCGATGCCGACGGAGGGCGAGATCCGAGGGGGGGGTGGGTGGGTGGACCAAGAGCCAATGGGCGACTCCCTCCGGTCTGGCTGGAGGGGGGGTGCTGTTGCGCGCGGGGGGGGGGGGGGGGGAACGGGATTGCCCAGTCGGAGGGTTGGCCTTGGTGGGACCCCCCTCGATCGACCCGGTGGAGGGCTCTCCCGAGCCAGGCAGCAAGAAGGCCAGACGGCGGGCGGGGAGGGGCAGCGCCCTGTGCAGGGCCCATTTGCACGTTTGTATTCTCTCGCATGGCGCGGCATTCGGCTCGGCTGCTGGTGCATGTGGCCGGGGAGACTCGTTGCCTGCTGTCCAGGCTGCGGAGGCTTCGCCAGGCGGCCGCGAGCCCCGGTGATCCCCCGGCCAGGGGCCGCCTCCGGGGGGAGGGGGGAGGGGGGAGAGCATGTGGTGCCCTGTGAGCTGGGGGCATTTTGCCCGGGACAAGCGCCATGTAGGCCGTGCGAGGCAGGCCAAGGCCGATTGACCCATGCCGCTGGCCATTGAGAAGCCCTGGACCTGCTGAATGGCATGCGGTTCGTGGCACTATGGCTCCGTGCCCGTTAGGGAGGCGGGAGGGGGAGTAGGATGTGCCGGAGTGCGGGGCTTGTCTGTTGCCCGGGGGGGGGGGGGGGCCGGCAGGGACGGCACACGAGTCACAGACCGGCACACACTGGCCGGTCGCTGGGCCGAGCCTGCCCGTCTAAGTGCCCGCGAAGGCAGCAGGGGCCAGCCCTGTTCGGGCGGCGGGCATTTCCCTCCCCCCCTGTGGTCTCGCCTGGATCTGCCCTGGATGGAGCATCATTTCCCGAGGAACATGGCCTGGGAATGGCTCCGGCGGGGGAGGGGCCGGGCGAGCTGGATCCCCGGGCCCAAGGGGAATGCCCCCGCTGCGAGGCGCGGAATGGCGGCGAGAGAATAAATACCATCAGGGGGAGGTTCGATTTCACCGCCCGTCCGAATGGTGTAGTCGGTTATCACATTCGCCTCACACGCGAAAGGTCCCCAGTTCGAACCTGGGTTCGGACACTTTATTTTTGTCGGCGTCCCCATTTTTCGCGGCCCCTCGCGCGCGCATCTCCCGGCCCCGCTCTTCTTGTGCATGTGTGGATGTGTGTGTGTTCGGGGGGGGGGGGGGGGGGGGGGGGGGGGGGGGGGGGGGGGGGGGGGGGGGGGGGGGGGGGGGGGGGGGGGCGGTTGTCCCTCCTGGCCGGGGGAGGGACAATGTGGTTTGGCCCCCTGAACGCAGCCATCTTTCTGTCGGGCTTCGGTCACCAACACCTGGTGTTTTTACTTCCTCTTGCCCTCGGTAGTGGGGGGTTTGGCCGGGCGATTGGGCGCGCGGACCCCGATCCAGCGGCCGGCCGTTCGGATGGCCAGAAGTCCTGAAAAAAGGAGCCAGCCGTCAAGGGAGCCTCTGGGCGGGTAGTGCCTTTATGGGAGCCTCCTCAAGGACTTCACACCCAGAGGTGGGTCCCACGATGGCGAGATGAAGGCCCGGACATTTGCCCGCGCGGTGCCCGGTCCTCGGAGGTGTATCTCTCTGGAGGCGATGCGGCGGATGGGGGGTGGGTGCCATCTTCTTGGGGGGCCTGTGTGGCTCGGCTCGCGGGCGGCCTTTTGCCGGGGCCAGGGCGGAGGGCAGTCATCCAGACAGGCAGCCGCCGGAGGTGCGAGCACGGTCGGAAAGGACAGGACACCAGCCAGTGTGCAGCATTGAGGTAAACACCCTCGAGGGGGGGGGGCCGGGAGTGGGCAAGGCCGGGCGCCAGCAGGGAAGGGAGGGCGAGCAGGGCTGGCATGGAGAGGGCTGACAAATCCTCATGCGGAGGAGCGTGTATTTCCGGGAGCCCACGAGAGGGCCGAGGGCGGGACAGGGAGCCGAGAGGGGGATGCCGGCGGCTACTCGCCCTCGATCAGTTCGAAGTCGTCATCCGACGAGGGGGCGGGCTGGCTGGAGCCGCGGGACCCGGGGCCCGTCGGGGGCGAAGCGAGGAGCGGGCGTGGGAAGAGCAGATCGCGGGCACGCTGCAGCGTCAGCAGCGGGAGAATGCCCTGGAGGAGTTCCGGCGCCATGCTGACCGCACGACGGCCACTGGGAGCAGGGGAGGACCAGCAGGGGCGCTCGAGGGGTGTGAGTCCGGGGCCGAGGGCGAGGGACCGGCAGAGAGGCCGAGAGGCAGCGGGAGAGCCGGCACACCAGGCTGGCAAAGGGCGGCGAGAGGAGGGGAGGCCGGTGGCCGAGGTGCGAGAAGGGAGGGAGGAGGGGGAAAAAAAAAAGGCCACACGCACGTCGAGGTGGCTGCCGACATGGCACCGCGAGCAACCCCATACAGCAGGGCGAAGCCGTAGGCCAGCTGCTTTTTGGACAACTCGCGCACCACCTGCCGAAGGAGGGCCGCCGTGCTGGACACCCCGCGAAGGACCAGCCCAGCAGCCGCGCCACTTTCGGCCCCGGCGCCCGGGGTCGAAAGCGAGTAGTCCCCCGGGGCCGGGGCCGAGGGCGACTCGGACAGGGACATGGTCGGATCGAAGAACGTGAGCAGGGTCGAGTCCAGCGGCACCAGGCGCAGGATGGTGGCCAGGGAGGAGGGCTTCCGCAGGAGGTCCCGGTAGTGCAGGGTCTTGCGCTCATTCCGGATGCGAACCTGCAGCGGGTGAATGTGAACATACTGGTAGAAGTAGGGAGCAGAGGGGGAGCCCCTGGCGGTGCCGGGGGAGCCGGAGGAAGGCTCGCCGGCGCCCGGGGCCCCAGGTCGCGAGGGCGCCTGGCCGGAGGAGGAGGCCGCCGCGGCCGACACCACGGCCGCCAGGACCGGCGACTCGGCCAGGATGTCCAGCCATGCCTCGAGGCTGGGATCCAAGGGCGAGGTGCTGGCGCTGGAGGAGCCACCCGGGGGGCCGGTGCCCGGTGACCGGCCGGTATCGACCGACAGCCGCCCGGCCGGGGGGCTCCGGCGTCCAGCCGGCGGATGGGCCCCGCCAGGGGGGTCGTGCGCCTCGCTGAACCCCGGGGTGGGCGGCGTTGTGGCCGACAGCGACAGGAACATCGACAGCGAGGCCAGGAAGTCCACGGCGTCGGCGTCGATGTACACACTGAGAGGGCGCTGTTGTTTTTTTTTTGCCCCCCCCCCACGCACAACGTGCACGAGCATCACCGGAGCAAGAGAGGGCGGAAGGTGAAGCAGCCCAAGGGCGAGACCCCGGGGCGGGGCGGAGAGGGCGACAGGGACATGGGGAGCGAGGTGAGGATATGGCTGCACAGGGGGCAGGAGCCGCGCGCGGGTGCCCGGGCGTCGGATGGCAAGAGGGGGAGGGGGGGGGGGAGCCCAGCAGGCGGGAAGGTGTGACCATCGCCACGCACCATGAACACTTCCACCCGGCGCTCGGTATTCAGGGGCTCGGTCAGCGGCCGTGGCCGGACAATGCGGAAGTCCAGCTCGGCCACCGAGCGCAGGGGCTCGCCGGTGGGAGCACCATGGGAGCTGCCCCACGCGGATGGGGGACCGGCCCCGGCCGGGTCCTCGCCGCCCTGGCCACCGGGACCCATTTGGGGGATGCTCTGGGCCGACTGATCGGATCCGAGGTAGAAAACATGCGGCGTCTGGGTGACCAAGCCGCCAGACTGGGCGGTGCTCTGCATGCCGATGTTTCCGTAGACGAGGATCTCGTGCAGCACCAGCCGCGCGTGGGACTGCGTGCCGGGCGGGTCGGCCAGCTCGCCGACCGGCACATCTTCCGGGTCGTAGTCGAGCCAGTCGACCCGCAGGCCGCGGAACCGAACGACCAGCTGCTCATTGACCACGCTGCAGGAGGCCGGCGTGAGGCCGGCCTGGACAGCCGCATCCGGCGAGCTGAAGGGCGTTGTCGGGGGGAGGGAGCCGCGGGCGCGCAGCCCCGGGCCAGCCGCCGGCCCGGGGGGATGGAGGCGCCCGGGCAGGCCGGCCGGGTGGGTGTCCTCGACCAGGCTCGAGGCCAGGCGGCTGTAGGGCCCGATGAAGGAGGGGAACTGGAGGCCATTGTGGATGCGAAGCTCCAGGGCATCCAGCATGATGATCAGTCGCCGGGTGGGGTACAGCTGCGAGTCATTCCGCGGGACGTGGTTCCCCGGCGGGGAGGCCACCGCGTGCAGAGGGGCCGGCATGGCTGGCGTCAGCCAGGTCCCAGCGAAGTCCCCCTCGATCACGCCCTCCAGCAGGTCGCCCGATGGCCGGAGGAGATCCAACCGCGGGGACACATGCGCCATGGGGGTGGCAGCCTCCGAGCCGGCGGCGGAGGCACCGGGCCCGGGGGAGGTCGCCGGGCCGGGCTCCGGGCCGCGGCCCGGCGCATCGGCCTTGCCATTGCTGCCGCCCTCTTCGCCGAAGTAGTAGTCCATGACGAACATGGCCAACTGCATGGTGTCAGCCGAGAGGTCGAAGCGAAGCTGGCCAAAGTCCACCTCCATGTTCTTCTGCGTGATGCCGGCCGGGTGAGTCTGCTCGGAGGCCGGGGCCGGAGAAGGGCAGCACAGCCGGCGCAAGTGCCCCCCATGGGGTGCCACATTCCGCCGGGAAGGGGGCACCGGCACGCGGGGGATCGGGAAATGGACGTCCGTCAGTTGGGGGCAATGGGGCAATGGGGAGGGGGGGGGGGGGGGAGACGGGCCGGGGCCCATGCCCGCCGGTGCACATGCGCAGGCATGTGCACGTACCACCGAATAGGAGCCATAGCTGACCGATGCCACGCGGCTGAGGTTCTGTCCCAGCAGGTAGTCCGACACGGCGCCGGTCGGGTTCGTCGGGATCCGGGTCCACTTCCGGCCATTCTTGAAGAGTTCCTCCACAAGCCGGCGCCAAAAGCGCTCAACATGGCGCGGCGACAGGAGCGGCTCCAGCAGGGAGGGCGGCTGGTACAGGGGCCAGGCGGCTTCCGGATGCTCGGAGTAGGCCAGCCGGTCGAAGGGCAGGTCGGCCCCGGCGGAGGCAACATGGCTGTGGAGCAGGCGCCAGTGGGGGATGGCAAAGAGCTCGGCCCCGGCCGGGGCCGAGATGCACAGCGAAAATGTGGGCTGCTGGTGATCCGCAGGCCAGGCCCCGGGGGTGGAGGCCCCGCCGGGGCCGCCGGCGCTCGGGGGGATGGCCATCACCGGGGTGGTGGATGCCGGGCCACCCCCGGCGGGCCCGGGGGAAACGGGCCGGCCCCCGGGCGAGACACTCGGATCGGCCGGGCTGCCGAAGTCCTGGTGCAGCACCACCGCCGGGTGGGGGAAGCACGCCTGGCGAATGGACGGCTCCCCGAGGGAGGAGATGTCCACCAGCAGGCCATTGTAAAGGTGCCCCGAGAGGGTGTCATTGGAGTTCTGCCCCGGGCGCAGCAGGCCGCCGATGCTGTACCCGGCGGCAGGGGTGGGGTCGAATTTGTCCGGACCCCCGACATGGTGGCCGCCATGGCCGGCGGTCGATCCGGGCCCGGTCACCGGCCCGGCCTTGCCATCCCCGTGGCCCGCCTGTGTCCGGCCATAGCCCGAGGATATCGGCGGGCAGAGAGCCACCACAAAGGGAGCCGAGCAGGGGGTGGCCATGATCAGGAAGTCCGAGAAACGGAGCTTCAGCTGAGTCACCACCGATGGCCGGGTGCGCGGGCAAAGGAGCGAGAAGGGCCGAGGGCACATGCAGGACAAGCGTGTCAGTGGCGCATCGCCTGCCAGAGGGGCGCCCGGGCAAAGAAGGCAAACAACCACGCCCCCCCCCCCCCCCCCCCCCCCCCCCCCCCCCCCCCCCCCCCCCCCCCCCCCCCCCC